GTCATTAACTGCATTCTCTTTACACACGGCCACTTCCCTGGGGAGCCTGTTGCAGTGCCTGACCCCTGTCTCCTCCGAGCTGAGCAAAGCAAGCGACCTCTTCCCTCAAGACCTTTTACTGTCTTGGGCGCTCTCCTCTGGACACACTCCAGTAGTTTGTACTTCCTATACTGAGGCACCCAAAAATGCAGACAGTACTCAGGGTTGGGATGGAGTAGTGCAGTGTAGAGTGGGACAGTCACCTCCCTCAGCCATCTTGTTAAGCTGTGCTCGATGCACCCCAGGACACAGTTGGCCCTTTTGGCTGCCAGGGCTTGCAGGAGGGCTGCTCTCCCTCCTGAAGAGCTTGTAACCTTCCATCATGGCACACCAGTCACAGGGCTCATCCCACCAGGTTTCACTTCTGCTAATGATGTAGTTCTGGGACTGGGCTAGAACTTGTAGGTCCTCTTGTTTATTCCTCATGCTGTGTGTGTTAGTGCAGGGACATCTCAGAAGTGCTCTAGTTTACTAAGCACAGTGTGGAGGAGACTGAAGGACCTCACTAGCATACTGTCCCTCAAACACTGGAGTGTTGCCTGCAGGCTTATCTTGAGTGAGCCTGGTTTTATCCCTTTCCCCCTTTAAATCTAGTTCAAAGCTCTCCTGATGAGCCCTGCCAACTCCTGTTCAAATGTCCTTTCCCCCTTCAAGACTGGTGTAGCCTGTCTGTCTCCAGCAGGCCTTGTGTTATCTAGACCTACCCATGATCAAAAAACCCAAATTCCTGCCAGTGACACCTGTCACAGAGCCAGATATTGACTTGCTGTCTCTTCCTGTTTCTTCCCTCATCATTTCCAGAAACTGGAAGGATAGAGGAGAGCATTACTTGTGCTCCTGATCCTGTAACCAGTCCCAAGGTGCTGAGGCCTCTTGATTGCCCTTGCATTTCTTACTGCAACTTCATTGCTGCCTTCATGCCAGTGTAGTAGTGGATAATAATCTGAGTGTTGTACCAGCGTAGGAAGTTTTCACATCTTTAACCCAGACCCCAGGGAGACAGCACATTTGCCTAAGAAGTGATTCTGGTCTGGTCTGCATCTCGGGCCTTCTGTTCCCTTCAGAAGTGAATCTTCTGGCTTTTCTTTGTGGAAGCAGTTTTGGCACAGGGTGTAGGCCAACAGCCTCAGTGATACCTCCAGCCTAGAAGAGCCATTGTCCTCACCATTGGTTGGTTGCTTGCCGAGCCTTGTACGTACTTTGCAAGGGCACCTGAGAAGGTGAGGTAGTCATGGAGGAGATGTGCTTGCTGCACTGGGCAGGAACTTGTCACTATTGCCCCCTTTCCCTTAAGCTGTCACATTCTGCTGGGTGGGGAGAGGATAGGGAATCCTCCATATCATGTGTCCTGTCTGCCTGACAGGCTTGTCCCAGGGATGGTAGGGTGTAGTTCCAGCAGTCTGTCTCCTCCTCGCGCTCCCTGATGCTCCTCAACCTCCTCCAGGAGCCCTGTCACTAAGCAGAGGAGTTCCTCTGCTGAGTGCAGCTCCCACGGGTGTGCTCACTGCAGCTGCCCTGTACCTGTGTAGGAGCAGGGCACAGCCTCAGCCTGGCACCTAGGGGCTGTGTGTTCCATCCATCAGAAATGGACAGATGAGTATTATGGCCTAAAACAAATCATGGTTTTATTCGTTTTCTGTTTTCACATTGTCAATATATTCCTTATGTTTATAAAGCTTTTCTTATAAAGAGAAGGGCCCTGTATTTCTCTTTCCTTCAGTGATTTAATTCCATTTTCATTTAGGATTCTTTGGAAGCAATCTCCCAGATTACCAGAGGTCAGAGATTATGATGTTCATTATGGGAAAAGTGCCTGTTTTTGGGATAACTTCACAATCATTGGATACCAGTCACCTTGGGTTTGTATATCCTACATTTTTAAATTTCCGATTAAAAAATCAGATTTTAGAATCCTGGTAATTTAAGAAGTGAAAAAAAAAAAATAAGAAAATTGAAATGCAAGCTCTCACTCATTAGGGGCTGTATTAAATACTGCATGGAAACAAGACAAGCACAGTGTCAGCAGTATGGAATCAGTCTCCAAACATGTTACTGACAGAAAATACCTGATTGGAATGCAACTTCCTCTGCACTGAAACATCTCCTCTTTCCACATCTGTAGAAATGTTTCTGAAACGATCTCCTTAATGGTGGTTAATTCTGTAACTCTTTATAAGTGTGTTTTGTGAATGAAGGAGATTGAACTATGACTGCATTTTTTCAAAAATGTGCATAATTTACAAATTACTTTTTGTTTTTTCTTCATTCTTTACAAGCTGACTGCTATTTATTAAGAAATAAATAGGGAATATCTAATCCAAAACAAATTCACTGGAATTTCTGCAGTTTATTTAGAAATAGGAAAGAGTTATAAGGCAAACTCCTGTGGTAAACTCATAATTAAAAACTGCCATACACCAAAGTAATATTTTTCCCTGAAATCTGTGCCAGGCACTTATCACTCAGTAAGAAGATATTTGAAATACGAATCCATTTAGAATTCTGTACTTGGATGTCCAGTTGTTGTGAGGTTCTTTAGTTTGTATTTTAACTAGACAATTTTCCTTGCTGGGATTGTGTGTAAAGATGGGACTGAGTAGTGTGTTAGTATGTTGTGCCTGTGTCATTCCAAATAAAGCAGCCTCTCTGACTGCTGATACCTTGCAGCACTTAGTTGAATGTCTTATCTCTGCTCCGCAAGGCAGATGAATGATACTGCCAGCTGGATATAACCAGAATTGAAGCCTGTGGAGGTGGAACTTTCCACTGTTGTTATGGGCCAACATTTGCTCTTTCCGTATGCTGTTGGTTGGACAAAAGACTTGTACTATTTTTACTTTCTTGAAGGTCTCTTTGAGGGGAGCTGTTACTCCAAGCTCACTTTTATCTTGTAAGAACTTAGAAAAACAGTGCACATGTGACTATAAACCAATAGGTATTTAACATCTCTTAGGACCAGGAGATGGAAAATAAGAGCTGGGGGAGGACAGGTTAAGTGGTGTTCCATGTACCTTACTGTCATCTGAAAACCATGGGCTCTTCTGTTTCTTCATGCTGATTTTGCATGTAACATCTTTTCAGGCTCAAAGTTTTGGGCTCTGGTTTAAACCAGAAATGCCCTAGTTTCTTAAAATACTCAAATTACATTTTAATTCAGAAGAAATTCTGAAAATAAAATATTTAGTGGTTGAAAGTTTCAGATAAAAAGATTTCTTAATGAAACATGAAAGTTTATATTAGATTTCCTTCACATATATAATTTACTGATTTTTCAATTTTATGTGCTTAGGTATTTAAGCTTTCCTATGAATGTCCCTTTCAAAAACACTATTGCACCTCATTTGGAAATATTTGACCACAAATAATGTGGTCATCTGCCATCCCTTCCAAAATTGTTGTATTCGGTTGTAAAAACCACAGCTGTTAGAATGATGGCTGGAGTAGAATGGTATTTTGAAAATGTGCAAAGAGACTAATTTTCAACTTTTTTTCCCATTGTAGAGATTTGGGAACTAGGAGGATTCAGATCATGTTACTGAGATCTTTACTTATGGTAAGCTTTCTGCATTCAGTGTATTATGTTGTAAGCACACAATGTTTCACTTCATGTATATGTTTATTCACATAAATACAGTATTAAACTCTGTGTTATGAAATTAAACATGCCTTCATATTACATAGACCTATAGTTCTACTGGGTAAAATGGTAGCAGCATCTTCCCAACTTACATTACAAGCAGCTTAAGAAATACTCCTCCATCTCTTGGAGCACTTTAGTGAATATCAGTTATCATTGGATCTGCAGGTCCAGAAGAACCTCATAGAGTAGGTTGAGTTGATTTGTTCTACCAGCAGTGATAGCAACATCAAAGTGAAATCACATCTGTCTCTGACACCAGAAGAGCTGTAATTAGTAGAATGGCTAATATTTTTAAAACTGTAGGAATGGATGCCTTTCTCCAAGCACTTAAAGCCACAGACACCATTATTCTTTACTTCCTAGTATTTCAACTGTATATACATTTTTCATCTGTAAAACTCCAAAGAGTATTTCTGGAAATACATCCTGCTGATAAGGGTCAGAAGTGGGTAGTGTAGGGGCACTTGCCTGTAGAAACCTGGCTTGTTCTGTTGCACGAGCTGAAAACTGTTCAGTGACTGAAGCAGGGGAAATACCATCAAGAATGATGCCACGACTAAAGCAGAAGAAAGAATACCTTCCTGGAAGATGAACACCTACCCTGCTTTGACATGAAATTTGTGTGGATGTGGTTTAGGCAAATCAGTTAAACAGTTCTTTGCCTGTCAGAATATGAAATTCTATATCCTTGCTTGCAGAAGAGTTGAGCATTCACAGTTAAAATTCAAGCAGAGAAAACATGTTAGAAAGGACCGCAGGATCATTTTGCACATTGTCTTAATTAAAGATAGACTCAGCTGTGCCTAAACTGTTCCTGGCAATATTCATCTCACCAGTCTTAAAAATTTCCACTGAAGTCAGTAAAAATAGTTCTAATTATTTGGGGTGCTGCATAGCCTGTACATATGCTTTAAGGGATTCAGATGGTGCATGTGGAAGAAACTGAATATTTTTGACACTGAATTTTGTTTTGTATCCTCTTTTAGACAATAGAAGTAAAATCTAATCATGGCACAAAGGTGTGGAAGTGAATGTTTTGATGCTTAATGAATTACTCTGGCATTGATATATAATTGTGGAACAAATATGGGAAAGAATATGTGTTCAGAGCAAAGCTTTTGTTGTGTTATATAAGTATATAATCTGCACATGTAATGGAGAACTACAAACTAGTGAACCGTGCCTGCCTGTTCTGGATACCTCAGGTATTCTTTAAAAAGAATACTTCATAAAATAATTAGGCTGTTGTGCATACACACATGCAGGAAACTTAATGTTGTACAGGCAATTAAAATCTAGCACCTCATTAGAAGTATGCACTTTCATTTGCAGCATTACTGCTTGTAGTATTAGCAATTTTCCATTTTCAAAGTGGCTGATGAGAAACCTTCATGTACCCTCACTCTTCTCTGCCAGGCAGTTTCCTTTCAAGCTGTTCAGTTGTGCTGCAGGAGCTGAGCTTGCCCATGTTGTAGTTTAAACCCGGCAGGCAGCAACATGCCACCCAGTCACTTGCTGACACTTCCCCAATGGGGTGGAGGAGAGAATTAGAAAGGATGCAGGGGGGAGAAACGGGTTGAGATTAAGACAGTTTAGTCAGTAAAAAAAGGAGATGAAGAACAAAACCAAGAAAAAAGGAAAAATTACTCCTAAAAAATAAAATAAAAACCCCAAAACCCAGTTACTCAGCACCAGCCAACTGTTACTCAGCCAGTCCCTGAACAATGTCAGACTGACCCCTCTCACTGCTGAGCACGATGTCAGATGGTGTGGAATATCCCTTTGGTCAGTTGGGCTCAGCTGTCCCAGCTGTGTCCCCTCCCAAGTTCTTGTGCACGCCCAGCCTACTTGCTGGTAGTGATGTGGAAGCAGGAAGGGCCTTCACTCCGTGTCAGTGCTGCTCAGCAGTGGTGAAAACATCCATAGGTTAGCAACACTGTTCTGGTCACAAATGCAGAACACAGCAGCATGTGTGAGAAAAATTAATGGAGAAAATTAACTATGCCAGCTGAAACCAGTACAACACAGTTCACATGTAAAAGCTGTAGTGGTATGGAATATGCATAATGGAGATATATTTATTATGTAAAGTCTGATTACTTTTATTATAACTAAATTTTGGGTCATTTTGCTCACTGTATCCTCAACAGCTTATGCTTGTCAGTTTCTAAATCCTGGTTTGGTCTTGAGATTGTAATACTCCGATAACTTCAATTTTAAGGGTCAGTAAATCTGAAACAGTTCTGTAAATGTTCAGCTGATTAAATTCTCAGACAGGGGTTAACTTTCCCTTACGTACTTACAGAGCTTGCTTTGAATAAAAGTGATCGAGTGAGGAGGTCAGGAGTAATATTAGTTTAAAAAAAAATGAAAGAAAGAAAAGAAAAAACCAACACCACAATACTAGTTTTCTAAGAAAGTGATGCTTGCTGCTTGCTTATTTTTTGCAATACAGTAGTATCCATAAGTTTTTAAGATGTATGTACAGGCCCTGATTTCCTTTTTTTTTCTCTCCACATGCATGGGCTCAGTACCGTATATGAACAGCTCAGAGCCTGAAAAGGAAAAAATCTCTGTTGGAATTATTACTGTTTTCCTTTTATGCTCTGCAACTTTCATAGGCCATTTCTCAAAAATTTTCATAAATTATACCTTTATTTTTCATTTGATAGAGGGAAGATCCTGAGAAATCACACTCTAAAACATGAATGAGTTCATTTGAACATGAGTATTAAAGCCCTGTCCACATTCATAGTGAGGTTAAGAATTTTCAAAACTAATAGAATACTTAATTTTGAATCCACCTTTCAGATACCAAAGCAAGCCCACTAAAAAAGTGACTGACAGCTGCAAGTAATTCTTACAATGCACTAATGACACACATTAATTTTCTTTCCACTGATGAACAGGTGACTTCAGGATACAAAGCAACAACGATCACTAACGCGCTTCCTCCCCCGTTCCTGGACCCGTTGTTGTCTCCTTCACTCATGGAGGATTCTGAGCTAAGGCAGCTAGTCTTGGAAATACTGCATAATCTCATCGACAGGCATGACAACAGAGCAAAGCTCAGAGGGATACGGTACTTCTTTTTGTTTGCTTAGGGCTACTCAAAATTCTGCTTTAATAACTGAATGATAACGGTTGATGTTAAAATAGTTTTCCTAATATGCAACGTTAATGTACTGTTCTGATAAATGCACAGTACTTGGTGTCATTTGTTGATGGCAGGAGTTTTACAGGTAAGCCTCAGTGCATGATACCTTAAATAATCATTCCAAGTAACTGAGTTTAACTGTGGAAGACAGAATATGGTATTTTAAAAAAAGTTGTCGTAATTCTGTTGATGGTTCTTCAACAGCAATTTGAATGTCATTGTTAAACATGGATATAATTAAAATGGAAATTGCTCTCAGTTTCATTTGAATAGTTCGTATTTTTCACATCCTCTTTCTTTTCAACCTCTTTTTGCTAAAATGATATTTTTGTGTCCCTTGTAGAATAATACCAGATGTCTCTGATCTAAAGATAAAACGAGACAAAATTTCAAGGCAAGACGTGAGCTTCATGAAAAAGGTAATAGACTGAAAAAGTGAACTTTTCTGTCTGGAAAGAAGATAAAGTAACTGAACCAGTTGCTTTCCTTTTCTTCTACAGCGGTATTTGGTGACAGGTTTTCATATCTAGGTGCATTTTTTCAGTGGAAGAAATAATTTTGTTACTTTTCCAAATATGCTGTGTCTCTAACCGGCTAACTTTTACTATGCTTATTTCATAGTAACTTCTGTGCTTTGCTAATAGCTGTTTCCCTCTTTTCTAAATAAAACATATATTTGAAAAACTATATGTATGATCATAGAAGTAATAAAAAGAGCAACATCATCTGTATTATTTCTTAATGAAATTAGTATGTTTTCCTGCTTAAAAAATAGTTCTTAAAAATTGTTTTTGTTTCTTCTAAAGTTGAACTAGTACATACAGAGATAAAGTGTCAGTCTTCAGATTTTGAAAGTTAACTGTGTCAGCTGATATAGACCTGTATCCTCCACAGATGAGGAGCACTGGAGTGGTACTGAGTTGTATGTTGCAGGCAAAACCTGCTCATTATCCTGCCTTTGTGTTGAGGCAATAGTGTCTGTACAAAGACTTGGTTAAGCACAGTGCTACGGGGAAAGGAAAGTCACTTTTGAAGTTGAAAGTCTTACGCTAGATAACCTGTGTTCTTCACTACAGCTAGAGCCTCCCTCTGCACATGGGTGAAAGAGCCCTGCTCATCGTGAAACTCTCCAGAAGAATTTTTCTCTGTTTGCTATTCAGGGAGTCTTGCTTAATAAACAGATTCAGTGTCTTCACAATAACCCTTGAAGCTCCCCAGTTACTTGGACATTCTTGAGAATGTTTCAAGGTCTACTTTTTGTTTTCTCCTTTTCATAAATGAGCGATTTTTTTTCTGGCTATTCCAGTAGGAAATGAATGCCAATGTGTGACACACAGTGCAGTGTTCATTGCAATTGTCTGGACCATCTTCCATGGCTGTTCTCTTCTACAAAAAACAAAACAGTACTGTATTTATAAAGAGACTGTTGGTATAAACTAGTGGTCTTCTTGATGAATCATGTACTTGTTTGTGTATGTATGTATTTTATCCTGTTTTATTTTTTAATTCTCTATCTGAAATGATCTAACATTGAAGTTGCCCCTGCATGGAGTAGGGAGTTGAACTAGAGGACCTTTAGAATCCTTTCTACTCTTAAATTATTCTGTGATTTGAATACTCATTTTCCCTTTTTTGTCTTTTATAGCATGGTCAGCAGTTGTACAGACACATCTACTTAGGCTGTAAAGAAGAAGACAATGTCCAAAAAAACTTTGAACTACTGTTTACATCTCTAGCTCTCACCACAATTGAACTAGCCAATGAAGAAGTGGTTATTGACCTCATTCGATTAGCTATTGCTTTGCAGGTATGAGTGTGGGGTTCACTGATTGACAATTTGTAGTTGGAGATGTGGATAGCTTGTTTTGTTTGCATACTGATCTTCAAACTGGAAATCACATCATTCAGCCTGAGTTTCATTCATTAAGGAGGTACACTTTGTATGTACCACTTACCAACAGGGAAACTTCGATGAATCAGATTTGTTGCAATGTCTACAGCATGTTCTCTTCAGGAAACGTAGCAGGTGTGGAAAATTGAGACATTCTCTAGTATTCTTTCATTAGCAGATTGACAAAGTATTCTTGCAACCTGTGATCTTGCATCAGTGTTTTGTATAAAATACATGGACTGTCCTCACTTTGGAAGAAAGCTTTTGGGTAATTGGAAATATTTGTCAAACCAGGCTATTTAATCTTACCTTAGAGTAGAATTCTTTAACATTTCTTTTCCAGGATCACACAGTATTTCATACTTGCATACAGTCCTCAGTGAAAATGTGTAACTTGTTATGTTTTTCTGTATTAAAATCAAAGCATTAAAAAAAAAAAAGTGTTAGTGTGTGCCATGGAAATATGATGAAGTTGTCCTCTGTTCTCAGTTCACTCTCTGCTGTTAGCCTTATTCCCAAGTGTGCACCTGCATTATGAAGCCTCTGAAATGCACAGTGCATCCTTCATTTTAAAATATGTCACTGAGCCAAATCCTTACTTGGTGCAAAAGACATTAGAGTTTTACTAGAGCAAAAATAATACAGTCTGAATAAACACAGAAATGATAATAAGCATTTAATAAGCAAATAATTCCCTTTATGGCACTGTCTGACTTATGAGAGTGATTTTTGTTATTAAACAACTGTTCCTAATTTTCCTGAAAGAAATTGTGATCAGCAGGTGATACGGACAAGAGACTACCTGTTCTTTCTTTCTGAGAAACAGACTTTGAGTTGAGTAGATGTGTTCTCTTCATAGGGGTTGAGTCCTTCAAGCTCTCTAACTTGAGATCAATGTATGGCTCATTCAGGAGTGAGCTGAAAGACTAGGATTTCCAGAGGAGAGGTATTAACTGCTAAGTAATATGAGAGAGCCATCATATGTCAGCTAGTGTTACTAATGACAATTTTGACTTCCAGATATTCCAGACAGCCTGTTAACTTTGGGAAGAGTAATGCCATCCTTTGTCATGCTTCATGTTTCAGGACATTGCCATCATCAATGAGGACAATCTGCCGATGTTCAATCGCTGTGGGGTCATGGCGTTGGTTGCAGCCTATCTAAACTTTCTGAGTCAGATGATTGCAGTTCCTGCCTTTTGTCAGCATGTCAGCAAGGTAACACACACGTAATGCAAGTCATTTAGAAGAGTACACAGCCTTCTGTAAAATGGGTAAATAACTTCTGTCGAGTAATTGCTTGTGATGTTGATCTCCTGTATTTGTGTCCACCAACATTGCTCTTTGTCTTTGGTCTCCAATGGCATTACTTGCTGACTTAAAATTATGCACAGAATATTCTTATCTTAAGGTATAGCATCCTTATTTTCTTTATAATACCATATACAATGGGCTAAATCTCCAGCTGGTGTAAGACACCACAACCTCACATGCACAGGTCCTTGAGAATCAGATTTTCAGCCTGAAGTGTAGGTGCCACAATCTCTTTGTCTGGCTAAAAGAAATTCTAAAGGCCTTATTTGTGCTGAGGTAGATGTTAGTGAAGGACTGGTAATCAGCTGCAGCAAAACCTCTTTAAGCAACCTTGTCACTGGAGAAAATAGCTGTGGAGCTACTTCATACATACTGTCTGTCTTGGTTTTTTTTTCAGGTCATCGAAACTAGAAGTCTGGAAGCAGCTTATTTTCTACCAGAAACAATTTTCAAAGACAAATGCAAGTAAGCAGATATAGAATGTGAAGTAACAAACAGTAAAGTACCTATTTTACTATTGAAAATTAGACATCATTGAAATATGTTGCATATGTGAAAAATAATTTAGAGGTTTAATAGTGAACAGGATAGGCAGAAGAAAAGCATTAAAACCACATATGCAAAAAAAATGGGTTTTAGACATTTCTTACTGTGGTCATTCACTTCTGCACAATATGACGCTTGCTTCACAAACACAGCAAAGTGCATTTTCACTGAATCACAGAAGCAGTGAGGTTGGAAGGGACCTCTGGAGATCAGATGGTCCAGCTCCCCTGGTGAGGCAGGATCACCTAGACAGGGTTGTCCAGGACTACATCCAGATGGCTTTGGAATACCTCCAAGATTGGAGACTTCACAACAACTCTGGGCAACCTGTGCCAATGTCCAGTAACATCCACAGTACAGAAGTGTTTCCTGAACTTCAAACAGAACCTTCTGTGTTTGAATTTGTGCCCACTGTTTCTGGTCCTGTCGCTGGGCAGAACTGAAAGGAGCCTGGCTCTGTTGTCTTTCCACCCTCCCTCCCTCAAGGTGGTTGTACACATCAATAAGATCCACCTTCTTTTGTCTGTGCTGAACCACCCCAGCTCCCTCAGTCTTTCTGCATTGGAGAGATGCTACAGTGCCTTAATCCACCTTAGTGGCCCTTTGTGGGACTCTCTACAGTAAGTCCATGTGTCTTCTGTCCTGGGGAGGCCAGCACTTGGCACTGTGCTGAGTAGAAGAGAAGAATCACCTCCGTCAGCCTGCTGGCAGTGCTTCTCCTAATGCAGCCCAGGACACCCTTGGCCTTTTTGACCAGAAGGGCACATTGCTGGCAAATGGCAAATACTGTTATTCTACATTATTTTCTGTTTAATAGAGACCTTATTCTCTCAAGAGGTGTAGCAGAATAGGTGAGGAACATCAGATGACCACAGAGTGTTAGAGAAATTTAAAATATTGCAGAGATATTCAGTGGACTAATTTTGGGGTGTATATTAATTCCTAAAAAACCTGCAAGTTTTCTTTTCCATTAAATCATTACCATTGGCCCTTTTTGCTTGCTTGCAGGCACTGGAAAAATATTTTACTTAAAGAACATATCTCTATTAGTAGATAATAACTTCAAATATGTATTTTGACAGTCTTCCAAAATCCTTAGAGAAGCATGAAAAAAATCTCTTTTTCCTGACGAACAAGATTGCAGAATCATTAGGAGGCAGTGGATACAGTGTGGAAAGATTGTCTGTCCCTTATGTCCCCCAGGTGACAGGTAAGTTGTCATTAGTGGCAAAACTGCTAAGTACCAGTCTTTAAGAATGCTTTCTTAATGTGGTGTGTGCCAATGAAATGTAATGTGACTACTTGGCAGCAAAATGTAGCCACGGTAGTATTGTGGTTTCTCAAGATGAGGTATTTTTTTTTATCTAATTAGCAACTGTATTATTGGTAAGAAGTTTCAACTTTGTGTCCTTCCCTTCCCCCCCCTTAAATTAACGAAATTGGGCTGAAAGCTGTTGAACCTACTTTGAATCTTTAATGAAGTCTTTGCTTTTGAAAGAATACCTAAGAACATAGTAGTGATTATTTCTGGTTTGCTGTATTAAATTGAGTTAGGAGGTGAGGGAAGATTATACAAGTCAGCATACTTCATCCTTTTTATGTAAATACTGGATGAAATGTATTCCATCCTTTTGCCATATAGCCTTGTGCTGACTTGAGTTACTGCCCTTAGTCAAACTCTTAATGAGCAGATGTTAATTTAATCAAGCATGTTATGCTTTCCTCCATTAGATACCTATGCCAGTTTAGGATCAGGTAAGACAATGAAAATAAAGTGTGCCTGAGGAAGATTTGTGAAAGGTCATGCTCCCCAGGATGCATCAATAGTGTGTCAGGGACTAGCTAGTATGTGATGTGTGTTTTCAGCTTTTAATATATTTTCAACAGCCAATTGAGCAACTTAGTGGAAAAAAAAATTATTTGAGGAATTTGTTTTATTAACCATGTGTGTTTTGTGGCTGTACATACAGCCACATTTTTTTGGATAGCTGCTGTGGGAAGGAATGAGTTCTCCAGAAGAGATGATGTGGTTTTGTCCCTAGTTGTTAGCAGGCAAACTAGTGATAAATTCTGACCCAGCTGCAATGTCTGTATTTTCTTGTTGTCTTCTAAAAAGGAAAAAATTGATATGGTTCACAGATTGTATCTTTTGGTATCCAAAAAAAGCATTTAATTTGTATATTTGAGTATTAGTTGAAGAGGTAGGTTAGCAAGTAAGGAAATGTTATGTTTTTTAATTTTTACTGTCTTTGAGTGATGAGAATGAGATGAGAAAGATAAACTGGTTTGAAATTTATGCTAAGCCCCTTCTAGTTATTGAGACTTATATGTACTCAGGTGACCTTGCTAGGGGGTTTTTGGGTCCTTTGATAAAAATGCATTCCTCCACAGGAAGATATTTAAATTCTGACATCAAGGTTGAGTGAGATTAACTGCAGGTATTTAATTACCTGCCTCATTAGGTGATGAGAAGTGGCCATATTTAATGCTAAGTTGTCATGTATTGTAATCAGATGGGTTTGGGGTATTTTTGTAATCTTTTTGTACAACAGTAACCAAAACTGTTTCCGTGTCCTTTATCATATCTAATTAGGATTATTAACCTCTGTGGGATATTGAGCTTCCAAGTTTTTAATTTATTTAAATCAGGACTAAAATGAATATTTTGGAATTCTGAAACTTCTCATTTTTACTTCAGTGAAATTTTTTATTTCTTCTATTATAATGCTAGAATCTAGTGTTTCAAAATAGAACATTAGTTTTAGAAAAAAATGGATCCTTTTTTTATATATTCCTGTGAAAGTTATGGCTGAACCCAAAAATCCAGTAAAGATTTTGTCCTGATAATTTCTGAATATCAGTGATATAATGCTTAACAATGACTTGAGACATAAAATCATCACCCTATCTTTGTTTCAGGTTTTGGTACTTATTAGCATTTTGAAAGACATTATTATTTGTACCTTTTTGTACCTTATTCTCTTCCTTATTTGGGGGAGGCTGATAATTTAAACATAGATTTAACCATTTTTTGTCTCTACATATATAATTTTTTTAAAATTTAGCTCTATTTCCTTCAGGCAAAAAACCTCATAAGTGCAAACACACATCAAAAGGTAAAACTGAGTTGTAGGTCATCCTGCTCTCCTGCTAGCTGTGGTGTGTCTGTATAGGACGTGCACAGTCCAAAAGAGATGCTTTTAGAAGGCCTTTAGACCTTTAGGCCAGAAATTGTGTTGTACTTGGTGTAATTAGTATCTCCTGCTTTTTTATTTTTTTTTGTTTCTCTTCTTGTAGCAACGTTAGCTGCTGCAAGGTTTGCCTTTTTATTTACTCTTGATTTGGAACCCTGCAACGTGGTAGCTCCCTGTTTTGCTTTCCTGAGCAGGTAGTAGGGCTCTAGGTGTCATTTTTGTCATCATATTAATTACTTCTTCAAGTCACATTGTAAGAACTCAGCAAAAAGTTGGAAGAAGCTCTCAGCTGCTCACAGAATACTGTTTTATCTTGCTCACTGCCTGTTCAGGGTCAAGGCCCACTAGTGGGACGGGTACCTGCACATGTTCTGTGTGCACCCACCAGTCTCTGGGCTGAGACATTGTCTACCCACCAGCTATCTCCTGGTTCCCAGTCTCCCCAGTCTCTGGCACCTGAGCATGTTCACCCCCAGGGCCTACAGCCCCAGTCCAGCTGCTGGTACAGATCCCCTTTGTGCACAGTAGTGCACGTGGGAGTGTTACACTTGGGTCTCAGGCAAACCCCCAGGCTCCAGTGTCTTTGACAGCTGGCCTGGGCTTGCTGGTCCCTCCAGGTGCCTCCTCCTCAGATGCACCAGGAGTCAGTCACAGACAGCCCCAGCTCTCAGGCCACTTCATTACTCACCTGCTGATGCAGCTCGATGCTCCCACAGCATCACCCTCTGATGCTGTGCACCTTTGCTTGCTCCAGACATGCTGCCCATCTGACCTGTGGTCTTGCTCCACTTGCTCAGCCTCCCAGGCAGACACCTGCACAAAGACCCTCACACAGGAAAAGAGAACTGGGACTTAGTCAGAAGATGGGACAGACTCCACTGATGTGGCTCAGATGCACACAATGATCAGCAGCTGGTTTATGTGGCACTGATGCCTGCATCTCCTTGTCTCTGTTGTCCTTCCTTGCTTGCTCCTTCTCAAACCATCTTATACCTCCTTTTCCCCACCATTGCTTCCTCCCTTAAACATCCCATACTAAGCCCTGTGCAATCCCAAGATGTTGTTCCCCTGCATCCCACAATGTGTCCTGGATGTCACTGACCCCACCCCAGTCAGTGAGGTGACCCAGAGGGCTGCTCCTATTGCTCCATGGGCGGGGTGCCACCCCTAGACCATGGGGCTCTGGCTTCTGGACAGGGCCAGGGCAGTGGGTGTTGAGGCTCCACAACAGCCCTCCTGCCTCCGAGCTCCTTTGTGTGTGTGGAGACAGGTTTTGTATCGTGTAACAGAAAAAATTGCCATTTAAACTTTTTTTTTTACCCAATTAATATATTGAAATAAGAGATGAATGGGCATTTTTATTAAGCAAGTATAGTGAGACATCCATTACAAAAACAAATTCTCTCCACAGTAGTCCCAAAAATGTATCCTCTGGTGTTTGCATGTCAATTATAGACAGAGCAGCAAGATGGCAGCAAAGATGTAGTTTTGTCTGAGGTGCTTTCCTCAGACTTTGTATAAGGATTAAAAATTAAGTAAAACCTTCAAAATGCCACTGCAGATACTCAGGGTCTCTGAGAACCTGTCAAAGAGAGCTCAAATTCAGGTGGTTTTAACTAATCTTGATCTTTTACTGCCTCTTGATCTTAAAATGACATTTCATATGTATGACTTCTGAAAGTTATTTCTTGATTTTTAAAAGCTGAGTGTGTTCAGCTCTGCTGGAATGAATTCTCTTTGTTCATGCTCAGCATTTGCACCACAAAAACACTTTGCTAGAAGTGGTTTAAATTAAGGTTGTGGAAGAACCACCATAAATTACCTTGTGGTGGGGGCATTTTGCAGTTGTTCTTATCTTAATATCAATTTCTTTAGGTTCTTCTTACTGTGTGGAGTGGAAATCAGATAATAACAGCCAGGTCCAAATGGCTTGATCTTGGCTAAAGTCTAGAGTGTGACATTGCAATACCTGGTTTGGTAAATGAGATGCAGGAAAGTCAGGCTGCTCAGGTCTCTGTTTGTCAGAGAATCCTCATGACACATCTGTAAATGTATTTTTACTGTGACATTAACATATTATTTTAAAAAACAAAAATGAGAAAAGGTTATGAATATATTGTCTCAGGAATGCATTTAGAAAAGGAAAATCCTGCACCTGATGTATCATTTGATCATAATCTACTTATGCATTAATGAGCATAAAGGAGCATAAAGTGCTCCCTTTCGTATCGACACAGCTGCTCTTATTCTGACAACTTTTTAGTCCAGCTGGAATTGCTAAAATGTTTGTAGGAAGTTAAATAGAGAATTTTATTTTTTTTTTTAGCAGGTAGATTTTTAGGCTCACTGAATATGGTACCTGTAGCAACAAGAATAAGGAAGGATATATTTTCTCTTTTCAGTCAAAAAAAAAAAAAAAAAAATTGCATCTGATGTGTAGAAATTTGATCATGTTTCAACTGTTATACAGAAAATGAGAAGTTGTTTTTCTTTTAGATGAGGATAGACTCTCCAGGAGGAAAAGCATTGTGGACACAGTATCTATTCAGGTGGATATTCTGCCAGGCAACAACACAGAGGATAAGGTATGAAAATCAGGGGGTATTTTAAATCAGCATCTTAGGGGAGGTTGGGCCAGAATGCAAATGAGATATTCCCAGAGAGTCAAATATCTAATTATTCTAACAATGTTAAACGTTTTGGGATTTTGATTTTTTTTTTTAATTTTTGTGCTTGTTGAAATGTGTTGTCAAAGGCACTGATACAGATCTTGCTGTATAAAGATGTGAAAAGTGTGTTGGCACTATAGTTTTTTACAGATAGTACTGCAGAAGGTGCAGTAGCAATACATTGAAATGCTGGGGTTTGAGTCCTGAATTGAGGTTGACATATGGGTGATCCCCACAGCCCTTCATAAAGAGGGGGTGAGTTTGCCTTATAGCTTCCCCCCAGGGTGCGGCCGGCCCTGCAGGGAGAGCCAGAAGGGAAATGAGCCCCAGGGGTCCTGCAGTGAGTTGACAAAGGTCAGGTGTCTGCTTGGGGATAAAAGCTGGGACCACTTGCAGGGAGTCAGGAGTGTCTGTCTGTGAAGTGGATGCACTTCACAGAGCTTCCTGGTTGAGGAAGGACCTCCTGACTCTCCTGGAACTGAGCATGGTTTTGGCCACCTGCAGCATAAGCTGATACGTGCTATGTAGTATTAAGTGTAACAAAATCCATAACTGTCAACAGAATTAAACAGGAAAAAAAAAAGCATAAAGCTTTATGATTGAGAGAATAAATTACTTAATTAATGGAAGATTTAGGATTAATGATGTATGCTATTATTTTGAGACTGTATGAGGTAGAGGGCTGTCTATCCATAAAATGCCTGTTATTATATACAATACAAATGCAATTCTTTTGTCAGCACAATTGATGTTTGTTGTTGTGGCAAGTCTGTTAGTGAATCCTGCTCAGGAAGGTGGTTTATCCCATAGTTATCTCCATTTATAAGATGAAAGCACTTGTAAAAGCAGCTAGTACTTCTGTGATACTAACTATAATGCTGAACGAATATCGGCAACCACTATGGATGTCAATTAGAAATCTGAAAGGCTGCCATAAAAAATAATATTCACCAAATATGAATCGTATAAAAGGTGATTATTTCAAAACCTGAATACTCTTTATCTTTAGGCATATCCACAGATATTTACATACAGGCTGTTTTGCTGTTTATTTATATTTTTACCTTTTATATATTCAGAGGTAGAAAATAGAATGCTAATGTATTAAAATCTGTTAGAACCAAGTATCATTTACAGCTCCATCTCCTAAAATAACTCTGATGTAAAAAATAAACAGCTGCAGCTTCTGGCTTTTCCAATTACAGTAGATCAAGTCGGTGACATTAAAAGAACTCAGAGTCTTCTGAATTTTATGAAATAACTTTTTACTACATTACAAGTCTTTTATTTTAAATCATATTAGACCATCCTAAGCAATTAGTGTAATAAGTGCTGCCTGTTTACATGTCGTTAGTTTTGAAGGACTAAAGTAAGGCAGTCCAAGCCAAGAGACCGTATTGTATTCAGCTGAACACTGTTCTGCCACTGAAGCATTCTCCTCCAATGCTGTCGTAGTGGTTTCACTGTAAAGGCACTTACTGATAGAGCAACTCTAGGTCTATAAAGAATTGAAAGACAAAGATCCTCTTCAGAGGAATGTTCAAGCATCTCTATTAATTTTGCATCCCCAAGCAATTCCTGATGAAGTACATCTGCAGCTGCTAATGGATATTCATATTGCTGAAAGAACAAGTTTTCTCATGGTATCAGACAGACCTTGTTATGAAGAGCCCTTTAGCTCTGATGTTTCTGACATAAGCACCAAATTATCTGGAGCCCATACTGCTATGAAGTTAGCATAAAACAATAACCCTGTTCCACTCTATGCTCCACTGCCATCTCGTCTGAGGGTCACGTTGCTGGTAGCTCAGCTCGTCTCAGGAAGCAGTTGCTGTTCTTCACAGCAGCTGTCTAAGACCCAGTACTGAGGCTGAACACCACAGAAAACCCATGCTCCTGACCCAGAGGAGTGTTCTGCCAAAATTTGAGTCCTTTTCCAAAGTATTGTTGCCATAGAGTGTCTTGACTGGAACTTGGAAAGTTTTCCTTGATCTCATTTGATAAAAATATCCTCACTGATTGCAGTGGCTTAAGAACATAAATTAGTGATCTGTCAGCTGTCCTAGAAGCTCCAGACAAAGCTATTAGAACTTGTAAGGCATAAAAGTTCTGTGGCCATTTTGACTTTCTGTATTTATCCCATTTCTTATTTTTTAGAAGCTTATATGTTATGTGTGCGGTTAAGAGCTTTTTTTTCTTTGTGTTTAGATTGATAATACTGAAGAAATTACCTTTGAAGCTTTGAAGAAAGCAATTGGTAAGATTTGTTACAACTGTGTTTAGGCAGCGTAGTTGTAGATGACCGTGGAATTGCTAGAGGAAAAGGTGTGGACAGAATAACATAATTAAAATATTGCAAAAATATTAAACAAAAAAGTTGTTTCTTTTAAACTCCTAAATTTATCCAAAACTTCAGTTCCGTAATTCGCAGAATCACAGAATGTTAGGGGTTGGAAGGGACCTCTGGAGGTAGATGCTAGAGCAGGTTCACCTAGAAGCAGGAACGTGTCCAGGTGGGTGTTGAAAGTCTCCAGAGAAGGAGACTCCACAACCTCTCTGGGCAGCCTCACAGTGCTCTGTCACTCTCACAGGAGTTTTCTCCTTATGTTCAAGGGGAAAATCCTCTGCACCAGTTTGTGTCCATTGCCCCTTGTCTAATTATAAATTTCTGAAATTAGATATCTTGATAATTTTAGTGAATTAATTCTCTGAAGATAGTGTGACTGACTGAAAAGCATCTGGAAATATCTGTCATCTATTGAATTTGCCCTTATAGGTCCAGATATAAATAACATGAGATTTTCAAGTTCCATTGACTGATTATTTATAAAGCCAACTCAAATACCTTTTATGTATTAAGATTTACGGGACTTCAATGCATTCAGAAAACAGACTGTAAGGTGTATGATGTGAACTTCAAAAACCCAGTTTTTTAAAAGGGTATTTATCTGAAAATTGACCCAGCTACCAGCACTCGGAATTACCCACTTTCCTTATTTCATGTCACTGTGATTACTAATTAGAGCTGTCCAGTCCACTAAATCCTGTCCAAAATATGGATTAGACATTGGGGCTTTGAACAATAGGCATGGACATTTTAGTAATGCATTCTGACAGCTTTCCAAACCTGCCTAACCACTGAGGTACTGAAATTCATCAGATGCTGGAAAGTTCCAGCTGGTTGTAGGTTCACTCAGGCTGTGGAGGTTGAACTCGCTTCTCCCAAGTTCTAGTAGAAAATTCTCTCCACCTGTCTGCATGATGCTGGGAGGGAGGATAGTCCTTTCTCCTGAAGCTGAACTTGTGTGCAGTGAGTGAGAAGTGCAGTCTTGTAAGCAGATAATAAAGCAAAAGGAAGCCTAGATGTATCTGGAATTAAAGCACATAGTGCAAAGGGCAAACCTGGGGACCTTAAACTGGCTTCCTGAAATTTTAGGGAGCAGTGAGAGATGACAGCTTGATTGAGCTGCATCACTTCAAATTCACTGCTTGTTTGCTTCTGCAGTGCACATTTGGAGGTTTCTGTTACTTATATGTGATAGGCAAAGATTATACTTGTCTTTTTCTTTTGAATTTTTTTAAGATAACAATGGACTTGAAGAACAGGAAAAAGAAAAAAGGCGTCTTGTGATTGAAAAGTTCCAAAAAGCACCGTTTGAAGAAATTGCAGCACAGTGTGAAACCAAAGTGAGTTTCTGAAAAATCTTATCCAGCAGTGAAGATGTTAGTGCAGGCATCAATGGGGATGTGCTGGCTAAAGGTGATTTATATTATCACCTCACTGCTGCTGTTACTTCTAAAGAAGTTCAGTTCTTTGTCTTCAGTTATTGCCTCCACTATTATCAATGTTGGGAGATTCCAGCTATTTAAATTGTTTCCTAGACTGTTTGAAAAGAAATGGAAATCTTATACACCCTTCATCTTAATGTTTTCCTTGCTGTCTTTGAGATCTAGATTCACAGTCCATTCCCATTTCACCCAGGGATAATTGGAGCAGTATTTACCCTATTATATATTTTGAATAACTAAATGTAGTTCAGGTCTGTTAAATTCCTATCTGCAACAGCAACATTTGCTATGTCATTACTTGCACTCCAAGACAGGCGCTACTCAATCTCAGATGCCTTTTCAGGGCTCAGAGTCCTTGCAGCAGTGAGGAAAGAAACTGAGACAGGAAATGCTGCGTAGATTGGCCATGTGGTGATGTGGAACACACTCACTGGCACATCCGTTTTAGCTCAGTTCAATATGTAGTGTAATTAATCACTCAATATTCATTCTTTTCCTAGGCGAACTTGCTTCACGATAGACTTGCACAGATACTGGAACTCACCATTCGGTAAGGCTTTGTACAAGAGGAGCATGATGAAAGAAAAACAAGTTACAAAGCAGTTGGGACTGCTTTCAGATCCTTGTGTCATAGTGCTCTTAAACACATGTAACAGGCAGAATATAACTGACTTAATGGCATGTGGTGGTTTAAGCCTGGTGGGCATTTCAGCCCCACACAGTGGGTCACTTAGTTCCCCTCATGGGTTGGGGAAGCAAATTGGAACAGTAAAAGTGAGAAAACCCAGGGGCTTCATGAATAGCAGTTACTTGGGAAGGCAAATACCATAACTCCAAATGTCCCACTGATCCTACTTCTTCCCTTAAAGCTGTTATTGCTGAACATGACATTGTATGCTATGGAATATCCTTTTGGTCAGTTGGGGTCAGCTGTCCTGGCTGTGTCCTCTCCCAGCTTCTTGGCCACTCCCAGCAGTGTGAGAAGAAGAAAAGGTGTAAGCACTGCTAAGCCTTAAAAAAATCATCCCGCTTTTTTGGTCACCAATCCAAAACATAGCCCCACACTACTGTAAAGAAAATTAACTCTATCCCAACCAAAACAGCACACTGAAAAAGAGTAGTCTTCATCTAAAACAGTCACTTTGATTTTCTTCTTATTATTTGTAATCTTTTAGGTAGTGGGGGGATATCCAGAAACAATGTCATAGTACACTTTTATTTTTACCTGTCTGTGTGTATCAGTAGTAGGGGGGAATGCTATTGTTTTCCCATTGCTGTGTCTAAGTAGCTAGACAACACCCAATGTAGTACTAGGCATTATTATAGAGAATTCTGCACATCCATTGTGCAGTGTAAGTGGTATTTGTCAGTCATAAAATGCATTTTCATAGTTCTAAAAAAGAAAGCATCCCTATGTTTAATCCATTACTAATTATATATATTGATTGTTCTTCTCACACAGTCCTCCACCTAGCCCCTCAGGAACGATGACCATTACTGCTGGACATGCTCATTACCAGTCTGTTCCAGTCTACGAGATGAAGTTTCCAGATCTTTGTGTGTATTAAGTGTCTTCTGAAGTCTGCTGGACATTATTTAGAGTAGAATACAATAGAAACAAAAAGATGAGTTCTCAAATTTCATTATTTCATCTAAACTAACTTTAAAATAATGATGATGTGAGCCAAATACAGATTACTCTAGCCAAACTTATGAGACTGTCTTGAGTTGTTTTCTTCTGTAATATATCTGAAATTAGGTTTTTTCATACATCATGTTTCTTCATTTTCATATTTGAGTACAAGTCAGGTTTAAAACCTGCCTTGCCATACAGGTGGATATTTCAGTTACTCTAGGAATTTGTATTTCTTTTTTTTTATTTTTTGTTTGGTTTGTTTGGATTTTTCCTTCTTTCCATCTCAATTATGTATCTAAACAGAATGCTTTTGGCTTGGTTCATCTTAAATGTAACCAGTGGAGCATTACCTTAGCTCCCTGTTATTCATCCTGTCATAGCTGGTCAACTTTTTTTATTTTGGAATATATGAGGAAAAAAAAAAACCTAGTACCTTACATGTGTTCAAGTAAATGAATTAATGGACATTTGTTAAGCTTTTTAGATACGTACGCACAGTATATGTCCTGTCTTTCTTGCTAGAAGTTGCCTGCTTTGCATAAGAGGAGAAATCTCTTCTTGAAGCACTGAATTGTGCAATATTTTTCATGTCTTAAGGTGTATGGTTTACAGACTGTACTTTTGAAAATGCAGTAGGATTTTACTCTCTGCTTTAGTATAAATACAGAAGAGATATATTTAGTATAGCAGAAAATAAACTGCGGACATTTTAAATTATAAATACAGAAATTACAGATATATTCTATGAGGTATTTCTCCGTAGTTTATTACAGCTTTTTAATGATATTTTGGAAATAGAAAGAAGACTGGATGAAACCATTTAAAGGCCAAGAGTTTATTACATATGTTTTCAAGCAAAAGCATTTTTAGAGATGCATCTCTGTGTTCGTTTTTGTTTCATTTCTCAAACCTTTCTAGAAATGAGGAAACTGTGGTAACTTTCATAGGTTTATGTATCTGAGTATACTGTTCAAATGTAAATAAAGTAAAACTGATACAGTAAATCACTGATGTTCTGATGATAATTGTCAAAGCTGTCTTTATGGCTCAGTAAATTCTGCAGCAAAAAGAAAAACCAGCTTTTGTTGGTGCCATGAATAGTAAGTTTGAAGTTCCATAATCTATCTGAATGTGGCTGAAGCAGCAAAACATGAATGAATGTTCTCAAAATCTATAATAAAAGGAAGGCATTTAAGTTAGCCAGCAGTTGAGATCAACAGCAATCAGGCCACAAACAAAGTGATCCAACTTCTTTTAGCACTGCTTTGAGGAGGAGCTTGGTTTTGATGACCTTCAGAAGTCCCAACCTAAATTAATCTACAATTGCAGAATTCTAAAATCGGGATGGTTATCAGGCCAGCTAATCTGCAGGCTGTTTTGAGCATTTGCAGACCCACTGGGAGAAGGATTTTAAGTTTTTTGAACTGCAGTGCAGTATTCCACTGAATTACTTTTGAAAGCCTGATATGACATAACATCAGAGAAATATCAGCTACTTAAACCTATGAGATAACGTGCTGAGACTTTCAGAAGGCATTCACAAGACTCAAAAGGTAATTGAGACCTTCTTTTCAGTTTAACAGTGCAATCACAGCTGTTAGTGGATGACGAAACAGCCCCTTATCTACAGCATTCCGTTGTGATTTTTACTGCTGCAGCGTGTCAGCCCGATCAGACCACAGTCTACACATAAATAGGATTCTAGATTTTAGTTTTCACTTTTGGGTTTTTTTAAGGTAAGACAATAGTTTTTTTGGCCTATGTAAAGAGTGTAATTTTTTTAAAGAGTAAATCTAACCTAGGGATACAATGTGAAGCACTTATCCACTCTGTCATTTTTTAAGAATAACACTGTGCACTTTTGTACAAAGAGAAAATGAGTCTAAGAAATACAAACTGTACTTCTGTTTGCACTCTTGCAGTATGGAGACTGTGCTGTAAATACAGGATTGTTGCTGTGATTGAATTCTGTTGCATGGATGCCGCATGTGAAAATAACTAGATTGAGCATTTCACTCTCTGTTCCGTTGATGAAGTATTTTTCATTTTGCTAATGTTAGGTTTCTGTGATTTCGATGTTCAAATGAGCTTTGTTTGGAAAATGCAGGTGTCGTGCAGGTATTGTGCAGGGAGCAGAGGGCTTCTAACACTCTTGTGTTCACATGATGTTTAATTTCTTCCTTTCTGGAAATTCAGGGAGTCTGTAAGTTGGCAACTGGTTCACTCTGGCCTTTCTAGAGAGCTGGGAGATGGGAGTGAGTGTAAAATGAATGGGTTTGGTACCTGTTGTTGTATGTAGCTAATGGCTGAGACCAAATGAATTAAGAATTCTGTTGTACAGTAAAAAGCTGCTTCTTTCACTTATCTCTTTATGTTCTTGACAAGTTGCAGAACATAAAAGCTCCACATGCCTCCTGGGCTTGTGTTACTCGCAACACGTTGAGCACTGCCACAATGTTTATGAACTGGTATCAGCTCTTTACATGTAATCCAGCTTCTGCTTTGGGTTCTCTTTCCCATTATGTCACTTTGAAAAATTACAGCTTTTGATATTGGGTCACTTTAAAGTAAATTAAATCCGTGCTGATTTCAAAAGATAGGAATAGCCTGTTCTCCAAAATCAGGGTAGGGATAACTGTCTGTTGTTCTGATGGTCATTTATTCTGTACTGTATGTAATGAACCAGTTTCAATAAATGTAAGAACACTGTGCAATCTATATTTAAGCAATAAAATAAACCAAAATTTAAAATTAATCAGGTGTCAGTTAATTTTTATTGCTCACAATTAAAATTTCAATGACGTAATTGTTTTGGCATTTACAATAGACCTTATTTTACACACTTTTTTTTGTGCAGATGTTATAGCATTGCAGCATTATTAAACTGTCACGTTTATTAACTACAAAACCATTACTATTGCTAAGCACCGAAATTTGAGGAGGCAAAATACAAAAATCACTTCCTAAAAGCAAATAAGCTTCAAGAAGTTAAATAAGCTGTACTTTTTTAGGCCTGCCTCCCTGGTTAGAAAATGTGTTGGGTTTGTAGTATCCATTTCAAGGGATGAAGTTGTCTGAGTGTGTGAGGCTCTGTGTACAGCTCACCTCGAGGCAGCATTTTTCAATCAGTGATGCCATCTAATGAGGCTGAGTGATATTACTCTTTTTTTCTTTGATAGCATTCATTTATTTAAGTGGTTTTAATAGTGCACCCTGAGAGAAGCAGGAAGAATTCTTTTTCCTTTCTATTTTGAGGAAGTTGGGACCTTCTCTAGCTCACATGAGATCTATCCTAATATAGAGAGGATTACATTGTAATCTTTCCCCTCCCCCCCTTGCTCCTCTGTTCCTAATTTTTGCAGATGTTAATTAAAACTTTGGGTATATTCAGGAAATTTTAAAGGTTAGGTGTCTTCTTTCTTTAATCTCTGATTTACCACCAGTCTCAGAACCTGCTATTAAGATGCATGGTCACCAACATTTTTGGTTGATCACGTTGGTCTGAGTAGGATTTTGATTATGGATACCTCAAAACAGGAAGAAAATAGTAGCCACGCCTGGGGGATTATTTTAAATCCTACCTAGAGAAAAGGTTTAGAGGTCAATTCTGCCACCCTACCATGTGAGACCAGACAAGGAGGGACAAAAGTGGCAGCCTCAGCAGCTGTAGGACAAAACAAAGGTGACCTCATAGCAGCTACTTTCTGGGTACTGGGGGAATTTCTGTCTGGATATTTTTGCTTCTTCAGCGTTCACCTTTCTTTGAAGGTTTCATTCACGTATTGCTCTCAGTTTTAACTATGCTGTAACAGGATGACCAGTACACCTCCATCTGGTTTTTGGAGTTCACATCTTCCTAAATTATATCAATTTGCTGATGAAATTTATATTCCCAATTCCTTAATAATCTATCACATTACAGGCAAAGAAAAAAAAAAGTTTAAAAACTTTAAAAAAAAAAACTTTAAAATTTTAGATAAGTAAAACATTATCTAATGAAGTAGGAAATCTTTTACATGAGTAATTGATAGATTAGTTGTTCACTTTTGAGAAACTAGGTTTTGGGCAGCTATGCCCCAAATCTTTGAAAAATATAGTGTAAAATTACTGAGAGCATGAGAGAGGAAAGAAAAAGCTGTTCTAAGTGTCTCATCTTGTTCTGCATATCATTTCTTAATTATTTTAGCACCGATCTCTGAGAACGAATAAATATAACTAATAGTAGCTAGATCATTTCAGACTTGTCTTTATCAACACAATTTATATGGTAGCAATTATCCTGTGGAACAGCTTTGGTGTTAAGATTCTTAGTGAAATAAAGATACTGGAAAAAAGCCCAAAGAAAGTAATTACATTGCCTTAATAACCCTTATTCCTATTGTAATTTCCCTATTACTTGATCGATTCAGATGATCCATCTCAGCAGTCAGGGAACTGAGCATCTCCGAGTGGATATATGCATGTGCTGTTTGCATTGCCACAACTCTAGTTCTGGTTTCTAAGAGTTAAGATAAAAACACTCCACCCCTTTCTCCTAAGTGTGTATTTTAAGGGCAGGCTTCAGAGCAGCAGCGCTGATACCATTGGTCAGAGAAATGACCTTGTGTTATTATTGAGCAACAAAGGGTTTGGTGGGGGGTTGTGGGTTGGGTTTGGGTTTTTTT